TGGGCCAATGCCAAGAGGTCATGAAAGCATTTAATTCTTATAATGAAAATAACACAATAAAATCATATACAAATTATTTTTTATCAAACAACTAAGTCCTCTTACCATGTCATTTGACCAACATTTCAAGGGTGAAGTTACGAAAATATCCAATTCACAAAACATTTTTCAGTTCATACCTAAAACTCACACATACACATACACTGTCAGAACAGATTTAAGAATTCAACGTCTCATTGCTATAGGCTTCTTTCAAATTTGGAAGCGGGGGAAGATGGTCTCACGCAAAAATGTCCACTTGTGTGAAACACAGAACGGCTCATGGCTACAGGTTCAAGACTGTTAAACAAATGGGCCAATGCCAAGAGGTCATGAAAGTATTTAATTCTCATAATGAAACTAACACAATAAAATCATAAACAAATTAATTTTTATCAAACAACTAAGTCCTCTTACCATGTCATTTGACCAACATTTCAAGGGTGAAGTTACGAAAATATCCAATTCACAAAACATTTTTCAGTTCATACCTAAAACTCACACATACACATACACTGTCAGAACAGATTTAAGAATTCAACGTCTCATTGCTATAGGTTTCTTTCAAATTTGGAAGCGGGGGAAGATGGTCTCACGCAAAAACCTGAATGCCTAAGAAACTTAGAAACCTTACTTTGCAATTAGGTTGTCACGGCGCTGCTGTACAGTCCGCGTGTCAGAGCGTCCCTGGCGGATCAGTTTGTCAGCCAAGGTCCTGATGGATTTGACACGAGAATCATCCACCCTCATGTCTGAGCCTACATCATCCAATTTGCGTTGTAGAGCCAGACAATGTTCATAGTCACGCCCTGTGTCTCCAGCCTGCACCATCATTTCCTGCAAGAGCAACAAACTGCTCATTGGCTTACACACATCCAGAAATGTATTCAGCTACCCTTTGGGACCAATGCCAGATACTCATTTGTTTAAAAAAGTTGACAAGCCAGTTTAGCCGGCATCCACGTCAAATCCGGCTAAAGACGATGTTTAATCTCAATGTGCAAATTAGGGCAGTTAACACACCTTGTCCCTGATCCAAGCCTCCACCTTCTCAGCCTGGTTGTTAAACTCAAGTATGTCCTGTGCTTCCTCCAGGCCACGCCCATAGTTGTTAGACTCCTGCAGCAGCTGGCGCCAGGCAGTGAGCAACTGCTCCAACTGCGTTCGCACCTCCCGTGACGCCTTGTGCTTCTTCATGAGCAGCATGTCGCCTGCAACAGTATTAGCCCTTACACCAGGTCACAGTAGTTATTGTACACAAACAAAAGGCATTTTTCGTTACTGAAACACAGCATTGACGGAGTTAGTACAAAAAACATGACACACTTTGGAAGTCATGGAAACAGTGCAGACTCTGCAGCCAAGATAACACAAACACAGATGTGTTTTACTATCAGAACCCAAGGTTAAATGCCACCAATACACATACAACAGTTCATTCCAAAGACCTATTTGAATAGCAAAAAAGTTCCAGTCAACTTCTTGGTCTTTCAGCCTGCAGCCGCGCAATGCTGCCAGCTACGCACCCTTGTCTTTGATGTGCTGTATGCGCCCATCATGCGCTGCAAGCTCTGCCTGGAACGCCTGGTGTTTCTGCAGCTTCTTCATCTTGTCCTCCATGCTGCTCACCTCGCCTTTGCTCGTCTCAGCCTCCAGCTTCTTCTGTTTCTCATCGATCCATGACTCGGCCTGAAACACATGTTCAGTGTCCCTGCACTTTGCCCCATCACTTGCACACTGATGTTTAAAATGTGAATCCTTCCTATTTATATAATGTCATTTAAACCTTCCATGCTCAGATCTCTCTCAACTGTTTACCTCCTAACACACAGAAAATATCTGATGTAACGAGTACAATGAAGTGCCCACTTCTGAGAGTGCTTTTAGGTACTGTTACACAGTTTGTTCTAGGTAACTTACAGATATGTGGAATATAAGTAAAAAATGATTAAACTGTATCAGCCCACTACAACAAACACACTTTGTCATAAGCACTGATATCCAGCTAAATGCTTGCCTTATGGCTGCACGTTCATATGCGTGTATTGGCATAAATTACTTCCATATAAAACAAAATCCAAAGGACACTAATTCAGAATTTTTCTGCTATAAGAAACTTATCCGTTAATTCATTCTAAAGATCAATCTGAATAGCAAAATAGTTCCAAGGACTGGATCCTACTTGTCACAGGTTACATATCAAACTTATATGACCAACTTCTATGGCTCTGTCACACATAGGTGAAATTTCTTCTTATACTAAGAGCAGTGGCTCACTGTAGGCCCTCCCACCTCAGACGGTCAGCAAGACCTCAACCGGAAACACACCAGCTCACCTCGGCAACATCCCTCACAAACTGTGCGTGGTGCAGCGCGTCCTCAAGTCTCTGCTTGCGAGCGGCACACAACTCGTGCACTCTGGCACGCCGCTGCACAACCTCCCCCAGACGGCGTGCTATGGTACTGCTCTCAAAGTGGTTCTGTGCCAGGAGCTTGTCCCCGTGCTCCTGCAGTGCCAACACTTTCTCCTCTTGCGTGGCGAGCAGCTTCTCGAAAGCCTCGTGCTTCTTGGCGGCCACATCCACCTCCTCCACCGAACTGCCCACATCAGTGACTGCCAGAGCTACCTCCTGCGAACTGCTGAGCGAGTCAATCTGTTTAGCATCCCGTAGGAAGAAGTGCAGGTCAATCAGCTGGTCCAAGTGTACCTTCTTGTGTTGCCATGCGGTGTGCAGGCGCTGGCGCTCATCCAGGAGCTGACCAAAGCGCTCCTGAATCTCCTGCAACATGCCAAGGCAAGTAATGTACAACTAGAAAAAGCACATTGTCCAAACTGAATTACATGAAGAACTATCTCCCAGGAAAAATATTGCAAACATGTGCAAGACGGGTGCGTCCAGTAGCACTACTTATCATCTGCACGACACCACAGTCCACGTATTTTTCAAACTATAATTTCAGTATGCATTTTATGTTCGCTCAAGTGCCACAAATCCCTTAATTTGCATGTTCCTAAAAACATAATGATGTTTCTTGTTTCACAAATTTGTCAGTCAGTCAGTCCATAAGTGTTAATACTCTCCTCATAGTTTTATTGCTACATGTATACAAGAACTGTGAGCTGAATGACAGCAGACACTTCATCAGTTCATTCCACTATTAATCACTATTAATTCCTAACTATGATCAGTCCACAACCCCAATATTTTTAGTCTCACCATGGCAGCGTAGTGGTTCTCCTGCACCATCGACTTCCCGAGCTCCACCACCGCCTTGAAGCTCTCTTCCCGAGCTTCGATCTCGCCCTTCACAGCCTCATGTTCAGCCTTCAGTGTTTGGGCGCTGGCCGCATCTCTCACTTTCTCCTCCGTCATCATGGTGGCACGCAGACCGGCTGCCCAGTTCATCAGATCACGCACCTATACACACAAACGCAGTAGAGAGATGATGATGTCATAAAGATGCAGAGAAAATAAGAAGAATAAAGAAACAGTAAGAAAGAAGAACAATAATAAAGAACGTGATGAAAACCAAGTAACACAAGGGAACTGAAATTAAGCTATGAAGTGCTCAGTTACAAAGATGAGCTGCAAGCCAGGAAAAAGAACAATGAAAAACCATGTGTCTGGTTGCTCTGACAAGCATCACACTGTGCCAAAATCGATAAATAAGCATGAAAATTATTTTGTTTTGTTACTATAGTATGCCGAGCATTTGAAGAAAATAATGCATCAGTCCCAACAACTCAAATTTTATCACACATCTCTGTTTTGCTTGCAAATCCACACACCTGAGTCAGGAATCGTTGTAACTCACAGCTAGCATGCAACTCCTCCCTACGATTTGCCGAACGCTCCTGAAGCACGCTCCAACTGGATACAACGATGTTCTGCTGTTGTGCTATGTGGCTGGCGTTCTGCCCCGGGTATAAAGCTTCCAACCGCACCGCATCTTCGACCAGCACCTGCACACGACAAGACCTTGCAACTCCATAACACAAATGCCAACGTCTCACAAACTGTGACACTGAAGCATGAAGCACAATACCTGCAGCTGTGCTTCAAGAGCTACCAAGTCGTTCTCAAAGCCCTCATGTCGGCGAATAAGAGCCAGCACCGAGTTCAGGTCACGTCCCAAGTCATCGGGCAGCGCGGCTTCCTTCTCCTGGATGCGAGACAGCGCCTCCGCGACATCACGGTGGAAGCGGTGGATCTCGCCGGCAGCTTGCAGTCGCTGTTCACGGTTGTCCATTAGCCCAAGAAGCTGCTGCCAACACTCCCTGCACATCACCCCACATAACACATGAGACACATCCGCAGAATGGTCAAATGCCAACCAACTCATGCAAAAAAACAATGTGCGTGCCTCACCGTATCTGTTCATGTCGCTGGGCCACCTGCAGCGCTGGGTCGTCGCCTGGACCGTCTGTTTCCGAGTTACTGTTAGAAGGACCACAGGCAAACCAACGGTGCTAGTTAGTGAAACAACCTACCACCAATGATGCCAACCCATGAAGAAACTCAACATGGTTAGCTCAGTACTGAATTCCCAATGGATCTAAAAGCCTTGAAAGGGGGCAGAGTGCTGTACTCATTTCTACAGCTTAAGAACTTGCCCCACTCTTCTTGAAGTGACAGTGCTGCTAGGGTAAGCTCAGTTGCCACTCAATCTTATGAAAATAATTTTCTCATTGCTACAGTATAATTTCTTTCCCCACTGTAAACAACTCTGATCAGTTAATTATCCATGTTCCAATCAACAAACGAACACATTAAGTGTGACTACAAAGTGATCACCAACAGAAGAGACAGTGCTTGGTTCATTTGAGGGGAACAGATATTTATCAAATGGAGGATTGCAAGTGGAATCTCCATTCACATATTTCTTGGGCTTTTAGATACATTGGTGACACTATACATGCACTGGACAGTGCTGTCAACATTAAAACATGAAAGATTAAGAGTGAGTCTGAGTGAAAGAAAGTGTGCGTGTAAATCCAAAACCAGATACAAAGATGACAACAGAACAGTTGCAATATCTGAATACGTACACTGTTAGTATAATGAGACTTGTTCAGCTATGAAATGACCACAACCGTGCAGCTCATTCCATGCCCAAAAAAAAGCGTGCACAGCCTCACAGTTCCAACACTGTGCTGCCTAACAACAGAGACACACATTCTTAATGTCACTTTGCTTTGCAGTGATTGTGTTTCAGACAGACTGAGACACTCTCCTGAGCCATGGGGCACGTGCAACTTTAGATTACACTGCAGAGGATGCTTACTGAATTACTAAGCAGCCACCTGTACATTCTGTTCAGTCATCAGAAGGACAGAAAAATCAGAAGCATAAATTCACAGAAATGTATGTGCGCATGCTTCAACATCTCACCAGCTCACCTCAGCTGCTCCTGACGCCGCTCAATGTCAGCTGAGTAAGGGCTCTCATTGGCTATCAGTTTCATGGCGAGCTCCTCACACTGAGCAAACCTCTCGGAGCCAGCCTCAATGCGATGCTTGAAGTCATCAAACTTGTTCTGGAGCACCTGTACCGCCACATGAAAACAAGCCTTGCTGTGAGCACTGGACAGTTCGTCCAAATACATCAATAAAACTCACGAGTGCCGATTACAGTTCCAGTGAAAAACTAATTCTGAATTTCTCTACCCCTATTAAAATAAAAGATGATCCAATTCAATCTCCATATTGAAAAACATCCAAGTTCCTTTATATACATTAATATCAACATCGCTTTAGTCTTTAATGTGACCATTGTCTAAGAGGTATTACATAAAATTGGGTCCAGATTTGTTTCTCCCATCCAAGTAACATGCTTAGCCCATCAAATATTTTACGACAGCCTTGCTCTCAGACGTCACAAAATCATGCAGCTCACCAGGAGATGTTCGTAGTCCTGTCCGTAGTCCTCGGACGCGGCGGTCTGCACCTGTTCTCTTATCCACTGCTCCAGCTCTGCAGATTCCAGAAAGTATTCGTGGCGATACATGGACTCCATGAGACGCTGCTGGCGTGAAGTCGCAAGGCGCTGCAATGTGCGCATCTGCTGCTGTATTAACTGCTGCTTGGCTGCCACAGCTCGTGCATCGGGGTGCTTTGCGGCCACCATGGCACCAGCACTGTGCCCCATCTCGTTCACAATTCCACTGTACGTGTCCAGCTCCAGTTCCAGAGCCTGCAATGTGTATGACAGACAGACATACATCTATGTGGATCCAGACACTACAGGAGTTCACCTTCCTGTGTTGGCAACCCTACAGATTATGTTCAGTAATTTTTACTAATTGACTCCACAATCAAATAACAGAGAGAGAGAGCGAGCACCACTGATGTGGTCAAAATCAAATTTTGACCGTAGGTTATTTAACAAAACTATCTTATCTACAGATGAGAAGATTATTATAAAGGGTAATGGTTTTTGGAAGGATGAGATAGAGGCCCAGTTCACCTGGTGAGAGTATAGGAACACAAGAAAAAAGCTTTATAATGGGATTACTTGATTTCGTGAACTTTAATAAAATCAGATTAAGTTACTTAGAATTGAAGGAAAGAATGTGAACCAACCAAACACAACCACACATATCTGTGGGACCTGACTGAACTCAGGGAAACCTTAATTGCAAGAAGCTTACTGACATGGGATCCTAGAAAATTAAACATAAATGACAGAGAGTTTTACACGGAGATTCCACTATTATTCACCCTGACTTCCATCGAGTAACAAGCCAAAGTTGCCAGGATGCAAAGCTAATCATTCACCTCCATCTATTGCTGAGGTTATGTCTGCAGGACAACTTTACCTTCATTGCCAACACTAATCCTTGGCATAAAGCATTCACAGACATGAACTGCTGCACATCTAACATGTGACGTGTTGTAATGTGGGACTGTCAAAACTCACTGTACCTCAAAATAACATCTTGCCCACAGTGTCGATATATGGTCTTTCTATTTGAAATTACTATTACTGATGTTTACAGTGTTCAAGTTGTAGTTTGGCTCATAACCTTGTGTTTGGTTAGCAGCTTGGTGGCAGCGTCTCGGTCCCGCCCGTAGTCTGTCGAGCTAAGCACGTCATTCTTCTCATTTAGCCAACTCTCCACCTCTCCAGCCTCGAAGAAGAACTGCTGTGCCTTGAGGGACAAGTCAAGCTTGCGGCTGCGATTCTGCGCTTGCTCCTGCAGGTCCTGCCAGGCATCTTCCAGTCCCAGGCACAGGCTTTCAATCTGCGTCAAATCGCATCAGTTAGAGATTGCATTGGTTGCCATGTGACCAGGGTATAAATTGCTCTTTAGAACTAAACAGATGCTCCACACCAACAGAAAATCCCAGAGAAATGACCAACGCATCCAATGAAGTGAATTATTAGAATGCAAGTTCAGGTACACATTCTTATGAGTTGAGAAAATGTCTAAGTTGGTTTTCTGGGTGATAACACAATGTGGACTTGTAGGTCAATACCAGTGTTTTGGAGGAACATACTGCCTCCATTCAAGTTTACACAACACTAAAACCTAGAAGAACAAAACAGATAGTTATGACGCCTCAAGGCATTAGAAATAGTTTCTTTACATAAAACCACTGTGAAACTAACAAGATGGCATCTAACTGTACCCATGTCCTATCTGTGACTAGTTTCAAGTGCATCTGATGATACAAAGTTTGTGGCGACGAACAAAAGGTGACGGCCTGAGCGTGCCTCGGCAGCAACGCTTCTGGCATGTATCAGGAGAGTATTCAGCTTCAATTCAGACCTAGAAACTGTCTATTTGGACTTCATTAGCAGCTCTCCATGCTACTCACACATTATTTAAAATCTATCATAAGCCACAATTTATTACTCATTTAAGAAAAAAACCTGGTATGGCACAAACATGCGCTAATGACACTTGTCTAAGCATGCACACAGACTGCTTGTCCTACTTCACTAAACAAGCATGCAAAATATGTAAGGTATTTGTGAACAAAATTCAAGGCCTGAAACTTAAGGACAAAAAATTCCTGAACACCAACATGGATTTTCAGCCACAGTGATTATTTCATGTTTCTTCGGTGCGCCACAAGATAAACAAATGTCAATGTTTACTAGCCTGTTCCAGAAAAAAGTAAGGAAATAAGCTATGATAGCAGTACTTAATGAAAACATTTTTTCACAAAGACGTCAAAAGAAATATTCCTGACACAGGAGTATAGCTTCGTGTCAACCGTGTTGGCCGGCTAACACACATATGCTGTGTCGTGACTTGTGACTGCGCATCCTGGAAGGTAATGTATGATGTATATACTCATTGGCTTGACACACAGTGCACAAAACTTTTCAGCAAAGTAAACCAAAAACCACTCTCACATACTTCACACTAGTTGGAATGTTTGTAAATCTTTAGTGACTGTTAGCAGGGGCTATCTAATATTTGAATATTATGGCCATTTCAAAATCTAATTCTACAGAACACATTTTAATGTTATCCTTCCATCTTATTTTCAGTCCTCTAAGATATCACATTCTAAAACATTTCCGTGTCAAAATTCTGTACACATTTATTTATTGCTTCCCCCCCACCCACAAAACCAGGCAACACGAACATGCACTTCACTTACCCCACTCGATCTCCATGCCAGCACAGTGCCATCTGGAGGACAAACAAACTAAACTCAACACCAATAAACCTGCAGAATTCCTCTGATTTTCAAGAAAACAAAGTGCAAGCAGTTAGCTCTCCACACCTCTTTAATACGATCTTTCTCAAGGAGCTAAAAGTTGCTCAGCCAGTCAAGAAATTCCCCAACATTTATGAAACCCTAAGGTTCACTATCAAGGCAACAGGTCACAAATGGACTTTATCCTTGATCAATTGAATCAAGTTCACACCTTCCCACTCTACGTCTTTATGCCTTGGTCTTCCAATTCCTCCCTCAAAGAGGAAGGACAAACAGTCCTTGAAATGTTGCAGACTAATTCCATACTCGCAGGGCTACCACATTAATTCTAGAGTCTGTCGTTCCCATTTAAGTGTGTAACAGTACAGCTGAGTCAGAGACAGAAACTCCAAGTTACATATATTCACCGAGTGCCTGTGAACAACAGAGATCAGCAGAATGCACCTCAACTGCCAGCAGTAATTCATACAGCAGAGACCTGGGTGCTGCAAGAGAGTCAAGCTGTGCTTCGGCTAAGAATGACGGACAATTCAGATCTCCTCCAGATAGCAGAAATCGACAATAAGTGAATGAAACAACCACAGAACTGAAATATTCTTCATTTCCTGGTCGCGCAGTTCCTTCGATGCCTGGAGAAATATAATATTTGGCTGCAAAATCAGATTGAGGGTGTTCTTTCTGAGCTGATCTGTACTGTGTGACATGGACAGTTAGGTCTTCACAGCGCAGAACAAAATTACAGTGAGGCGAAAGTGGTAAGCTGTTGTTATGAAGGGAGACCAGAACACATGAAGTAGTAAGTGACCCTTTCTTTCTTTCTGTACAAAATGGCGTTGCTTTTCTGACTGCACCTGCTTGGTCTCCGGGTGAGCCTGCTCAATGAGGGCCCGGCCAGATGCGAGAGCGCGGTCGATCATGGGCTGGTGCCCCGTGATCTCTGCCTCCAGTTTACGATGTTTCTTGTGGAGAGACTGTGCTTGATGCAGGTTCTGCCCCAGCTTGTCAGATGCTGCAAGAGGCAGGTGCTCCTTGATCCACTGCTGCTCTGCATCCAGTTCAAAAACAAACTTGTGAAACCGTAGAGACTCCTCCAGCGCCTCGCGCCGCCTGCTGGCCGGTTCTCGAAGAGCACTGAACCTGCAGTCATTTAACATTTATAACAGTAAAAGTGTCTACCAAATGAACGTCTAAAGTTCTACACGTGACACAATCCTGAGCTAGTTCAGTCCTCATGACACATTTATCACTTACTTGTCCTGGCAGCTGCGACTGGCTTTTAAGATGCTGTCTGCATCAAAGTGGCCTTCGTGTGCCATCTCCCTGCCCAGTCCCACCAGGTCACTCACCTTCTGATCCCACTGCCTCATGTCACTCTCCAGTACCTGCAGCAACACAATCTGATAATGCTGTATCAACTTCACAAGTCTAGAATAGGGGTTCGGAACCTTTCAAGACCTGAGAACACATTCACCCTTTCTTACAAGTGAGACCATAACATTCAAAATTTCAGGAACTTTTTAAAATATATTACTTTCTACTGCATCTACAACTTTATATGCAATTCACATCCCTTATTCAAATAATCTTCACTTGCAGAGAAAACTGACAGTATGTTTCATGGTATATGGTCTATAAGGCTGAGTATGTTCAAAAACTGCAGACAAACACACCAAGTACAATCTCTGATGTTGCTATGTGCTGAGAATAGCGGCAAATCTTTAATACACATTACCTGGTGCTTCTTGAGCAGCTCCTTGCAGTGCCGCAGGTCGGTGCCCACTTCAAGTGACTGAAGGCTAAATTCCATCTCCTCCAGCTTCAGACGCGCGTCTTCCATCGTACGATTGTAAGTGTGCTGGGCGGCTGCCTGCTGCAGCCGTCGGCCCTTGTCACGAGACAATGCCACCAGCTCCTCCCATGTTATATTGAGGTCTCGCAACATCTGCCCGACATCTTCCTGCCGGTAGTTGCCCTCTGACAGCAGCACCTGCCCAGTCTGCAACACACCAAGCGTTTTCTGCCGGATATCTCGCAAGGCAATGAAAAACAAAGACAGCGGTCTTCTGGGACATTGCATCATGTAGTCTGGTACATATTAACTGATGTTTCAGAGGAGCTTACCATCTCCATCATCAGGGTGATGAGTATGTACTCATCCCAGAAAATGGCCACCTTCATACCTGTCACCATCAGAATCTAAAATCCTCATGAAATACAAGACGTCTGTAATGAAAGAAGAAAGACTGACTAACCTTGTTGACTGTGCGCAGCTGTCCCTCATTGGCGTGCAGTTCTCGTTCAAAGGCCTCATGCTTCTGCAGCTTGCGCTCCAGGTTACTAAGATCCCTGTATGATTCATCACTTGCAGTCTTCAGCTTGTCTGCCATCCAGCCCCGAAGGTCGTCCACTTCTGCTGAGAAGTCCTGGAACCTGTGGGACGCACCTAGCGCGGCCTGCCGATCTGCCGCAGCTTCCTTCACTGCAGCTCGCCGTGCCACCACCTGGTCTCGCCGTTCATCAATACTAGGCAACGATGCACACAATATGTGTAACCAAAACACAACTGCACTTCACTGAATGTAGCTAATAACAACGCCATTCTAGGATAAATCCTGTTCACTGGCTGCAAGACTGCATAAAGATATCAACTGTGACATAAAATGACAGCTCTGAAGCTTTAAACATAGCATTACATAAAATCAATACATTTAATTTTATCATCTCATTTGCATACTTGCTTACTATAGGCTGTAACGAATGTCAGGCAATGTTTCCCAATTCCTACCCATATTCCGAAAGATACTCCGAGAGGGACTCACTATTTGCTGTCATAATGTCCGGCTTGTATCAGCTTATCTGCCAGCTCGCTGAATGCCTTCAGCCGCTCGTCTTGTGCAAACAGGGTGTTCTCGAAGTCTTCGTGTCGTTTCATCAATGCCTCAACATCATCCAAGGATCCCTGTAACGGCATCACTCTTACAAATGCAGGGAGAAGGCGTAAAATACACCATTCACAAATTGCAAGGGCAGAATGGAATTTCATTAACCTACTCAAGTGCAGTGTTTAACTCATAGCTGCTTATAATACAAGACTCACCCCCAAGTCTGCGTTGGCTAGAAAGACCTCGTGGCTTGATGTCGAAGCCTCGATCTGGTCTGCCTCCCTGTTCAGCAGCTGCAGGTCCAGGCACTGCCGTAGCCAGTTGCCCTTCTCCCCAAACCCACGCATGACAGCCTGGTCCTCGGCCGTCAGCCGCTCAAGTCGCTCTGCCACGTCTGTTAAGGCCGGGTTCCTTTGCAGCAGTTGCCTACCCAGCCCGGTCACCTCCCGGAACTCATCTTCATGTGCCCGAATGTCATCGCCCAGCTCCTGATGTTTCTTGAGTAGGTTTTCTGCTGTTGTCACATCCCGGGCACTTTCATCTGCATTCAAAGCCTCTTTCACTGAGGCCATCCAACCAAGCTGCAACATCAGCGCACTTCATCAAGACCATTTACACATGATCCATTTTAAAGCCAGCAAGAGGTCACCTCTCTTAACTCTAGAATAAAACCATATCCATCATGCACATACACACGCGGTCTTATAGTCAGCCTAACAGGACAGTTATCGTGCCAGTCGACACTTGTTTGTGACAGGAATGGATAGTAGGAACATTTCCATTGTGACCACATACAACACAGTGCACTCGAGTATCACAACTCTTGTATAATCAACACTCAACATGAGTTGGGGAGTTAAAGCAGAGATTGTTTTAGTGACATAATGTCCTCACAACAACGGGTGCTACAGGTGCAACCAAGTATTCCAGTTAAAACGTTTATACGTAATCATTCCAATCACCTACCAGGTTCTTGGAGCTATTCATAAAGATCTGGTGGCCCACAGCATCCTCCAGGCGAGAACGGCGTTCAATGGCCTTGGCTTTAACCTTCTCCCAGAGGTCCTGTACTTCCTTCTGGCGTGCATTTACATTTGCTCTCTCATTTGGATATGACGACTTCACAGAGTTGGCCAAGAGGTTCACTCTCTTCACTTTCTCTTCCACAGGGGCCAGCTCCCGCTCCAGGTGCTGATGGCGTCTCTGCAGCGCCTGCACCGTCTTGAGGTCGGGCCCCAGCTCGGCCGTGTCCAGTTGCGTCATCTTCTCCAGCATCCAGTCCCGTGCCTCATCACATGTTCGGTTGAACAACTCCACACTGCGACATACCGTGAGAATGAATCAAGAAATTGACAACCAACTCAGTGATGTTATGGTTGGAAATGTTCTGGTGCATATCTGAAATCTGTGAACTATGAACCAGCAAGGATTAGCCCTACTGCTAGGGACTCAGAAAAATTATAAATACCAAGTCAGAGCTGTCTTCACGCTTACTTTGGTGACAACTATTACTGTTCAGAATGAAGTGTACGGGGCCTTATTCTAACAAATATTTCTTCCTTTCACAACACTTCACAAACAATCACCTGGAAGCCCCCTCAAGGCTGCGCTCCTTTTGCCCCTTGAGCCAATTGAGGTGATCCCACAGTTGGTGGATTTGCTTCTGTCGTGTACGCACTTTGTCCAGCTGACTATGGCCTTGGCGTACGAACTCTTCGACAGCCACATCCAGGGCCTCAATGCGCTTGCCGCTGGCCGAGAGATCCGTCAGGAATTTCTGCAACAGATCAAGCACAAGGAATAAATACATAGTACCCTGTTGACTCCCACTGATAGGGTGATACAGCATACAACCACTCAACACACCTCAGCAGCAGCAGCAGCAGAGCTTAAACAAGGAAACAAACGAACGGTGTCCTAGTCCAGTAAAATGCAACATTAATCCATGACTTCTTAGACCAGAAGACAGCTATCCTTACTGGGATCTCCAGACAAGTTGTCAAATAAGAACTTATACAGGCTTAGAAATGCCTACCACATGCTTTCCAATTCACAATTCACATATACACCACATAAAAACATTCCCAATAAAATTTACAAACCAAATTAGATGTTAAAGAATACAAAATGCAGCAGTCATTTCCAGTTCATATCATTTCATTCAACTGACAAACAGTGCAGTGTCTGACATCTGATTTACAACTCCACCACGAAAACTGATAGTGGATTGTGACACTTGCCGACTTTCTTAGTGGCTTGTTCCGGTTGGGATTCACTGCAAGAAACTGCATTGTAAGAGTGGAACACGTCTGCCAAATCCCTCACCTCATACTTGCGCTTCGCAGTCTCCACATTATCGGTCGAGTCGTCAGCTCGCAACATGCGCTCTTTGTCCTTGATCCACTTCTCAAAGTCATCACACTCTCTGTAGAACCCATACAGATGAATCGAGTCTTCCAGCAGAGCGTGGCGTCGCTGCAGATAACACACATAATCACATTTATACTGGCTTTTGGAATGTGACAAATGAATACGTGTGGTCCACACAATTAACATCATGAGCAATAATAAAACCACGTGTTTACAAACTAAACAACAAAACAGATCACACACTCATGACTACTAAATTTTAAATTTTTAACCAAGTAATCAAATTTATCACTTACCTGTGCAAGATCAAGAAGTTGGTTGTATGTAGTGTTGATCTTATTCTGTCGCTTTTCAACGTTCTCATCCTCTGATTTCCTCTTTTCTGGTCGCCCTGCAACATTAACATGTTGACAACAAGAGTCCCACTTTCATCCACGGTTCAGTCGATAACAACTTCCGATAAAAAGAAATTGGGAGCGGGATCAATTTGTAAATGCTTTCACAAACACTTGCAAGCACTTCAACACTTCAAGGAGTTTTCCTAGAATATTTGTTACAGCCAATCAGACTTCGCTATGTGCAATAAATACAGATGCCTCTCCATGTACTCACCAACAGACTTCATGGGCTGAACCCTACGGGTGGGAACGACTTGCTTCACCATCCTCGACTTCTTGACGCGCCGCATCTCGCGGATCTTCTCCGGGCGACGTACCTGGACCTGCACCACCTTGGGTTCAATCTCACGCACATAGTTGGCAGGCACAAAGCCATCAGTGCCATCTGCCTTGCGCACATTCCACCAATCAGGGTTGGTCTTGTTAAGAAGGAACATCACTTCACCTTTTGCCATAGTCATACCCTGCCCAGTGAAAGCGTACAGACTGCGCACCTGGGGCACCTGGCGCTCCTCCAGCACTACGCGGTGCTCGATGCGCTCCACTGGCTCCTCCTCCCAGTAATCCTGAGGCACCAGTCGCACCTCCTGATCCAGTTCCTGTACTGGCTCCGGTTCAGACCAGAGCTACACATACAGTCCACAGGATGACAAACTTTGTAACTAGCATCGACACAATTTTGGTGGGGGAAAATAGCTTATAAATCTGAGACAGATACAGGCACATAATAATAAAATGTATGCAAACACAAAAATTTTTGGTGATGCGGAGCTCACACTGAAGTGTTGAACCTTCAGAGTTCATCTGAGTTAAATAAGTGCACACAAGAGCACCCAGTCTCTGTGCAGAAAAAACCGACAGCTATACAGTTCAATTATCAAAATTTCTTGCCGTACGCACGTTTATATTCATCAGTATCACTATAAAATGGTATTTAATATAAAAGTTACAGATAACCTATCTTCACAGCAAATTTCACATGCTTCAACAGTCAATGCTCCTGAAAGGAAAAGTAACTACAGACTTCAAGCGAGACCTTGTAATCATGGTAGTTATACTAAATAAAGACAACTTCCACTCACAGGAAAAGTATGACAGGAATCAAGACACCAAAGCAAATGGACAAGGCACGATACCTCAAGAGTTGAGATGCCAGCCTGCACCAGCTTCTCGGCCTGGCTGTTGAGGCTAGCTACGTCTCCACTGTAAGCATTCAACTCCCCTTGGAGATCACGGTGACGCTGCAGCAGTGCTTGCGCACTTGGTTCGTCTTCACCGTAGTCTGTTGACGCAACAAGTGCCATCTTCTCATTCAGCCATGACTCTGCTTCATTGGCATCCGTATAGAACTGCAGGTGACAAGAGAACAGGTGAGAACTGACAGACCTATAAAACTGAATTCTTCTATTTTCCTATAATCTCACAGCTGGCAGGATACTATACAAAACTTTCTGTAATATATAAAATAATCTTAATCCACTGCTGTTTTGTTGTTACATGATCATTTAATGCAGAAAGTGAACACATGCAGTAAATTATATAAAAGAAAATTTGTTTGATGTCACGTTTTCTTCTCCTTTTCCTCAATGGCCATGTTTTGTACAGAGTGTGATCCTCACGTGGCTTTCCAGGATAACTTCTGCTTCTTAGTCATGCACCCCTTCCTACTTGCAACATGGGACACGCAGTACCCACCTGATACGCCTCTGCCGCATCCTCCAGCTGCTTCTTGCGCAGTGCTGCCAATTCCTGCAACATATTCCACTGTTCCTGCAGACTGTCGATGCGAGACTGAATCTCCTGTGAGCAAGGATGCTTGTCGCTTATGAGCTGGTGCCCCACTTCACACAGCTGCTCTGACTTGGGGCGTCTTGCCTTCATCTCATCCTGCAGAGCCTGCAGCATTACATACATTTACTCTGGAGATTGTCAGGTGGCAACAGATAAACGCAGAACATCTGCAGAATGAAAAACATGAGGGAAAACAAACAGTACATCCTACACAACTTGCCCTAGCACTGAACCCAGGTGTCAACGACATGAAAATAATGAATAATAATTAATCTATCAATACCATTACACAAGATGCAAACACCCTGATCTCTTGACCACATCGGTCATGCTTTCTTAGCCATTCTATCGATTTTGTTCTACAGTAGCTGATGTGGGTACCACATCTCATTGGGCATAATGGAGCATTAATTACAACTACAGATGAAACCATGGGTTCAAAGCTTGTGTCCTATACTGGACACTAGTTAAAGTTATCGAAAGATAGTTCAACGTTGACTACATAATGCTTACACCACATAAAATGTAAAACCAAAGAAAGATGATTTGTTTTCACCACTTGCGACAAGTATTTTCTAGTGTGCTTCAGTGTCACGTAGTGCTCATTACATTCGTGTGTGACGAAGTTATTGGAATATCAGTATAGAGTGGCAATTGATAACATCATTTAGGTTATGCTGCCTGATTGAAGTCAACTGGTGATTTCTTTTAAACTCTCTGCCATACAAAAATTTAACTTAAGAAATTAAGCATAAAGGAAACAAACAGAACATTCATCGTGCCAGTTATGTAAGGACACATTTCTGAACAAGTTACATTTGCTGCAGAATTATCTTACTGCGTATCACATACACGTAAGTTTGTATTCAGCAAATCATGAATATTTATGTGCTAACCTAACATCAGATATGGGAGCCAATAGCAATAAAAATTAAATTACGGAACCACTCATCAGACCGGAATGACAGACACGCGGGCAACTCCTGATGCCCCGTCTTACGAGATCAGTCTGGGTTTGGAGTACGCATTATAATAGCAGGACAGACAACATTCACAAGTACCTGAAACTTGGTCTGGTGCAGCGCAGGGAAGTTCAGTGTTAGCGTAGTATCAGCATGCAACAGTAGAAATAGCATAACAAGGCATTAGAACAGCAATGGTTCAGATCTGTGTTAGCAATGAAATCTACCACAACCATAGCATTACTAGTGACTCATTTTAGCATTCAAAATATACAATTATGTCACTATTACTGGCACGTACGTTAGTAATCAAATATACAACAAGACAACTAGCAGTTCTAAGCAAGTGAACCTTAAAGCTGGAAATGAAATTCTTACACTGTACAAGAACTGTTCAGACAGCATCAGTTCCCCATTTGCTGACTGAAGCAGGTAATGTAAAGAAATTAATATCATTATACTACGTGAAGAGACTATGTAGCACGACTGTGATGAAAAGGCAAATCTTGCGAGCAAGGAAAGCATCTGATAGCGTGTCCAGAGGAAGAGACTGTGGCATGTTTTCACAGCACGTGAATCAAGAGTTAAAGAGAACAAGGGTTCATATGTATAAAGTGGGTGTTCCTCAAAACAAACCACTATGAACTTACCTTGTGTTTCTGCTGCAGACTGAGCACGGCTCGCAGGTCCTTGGCCGAGATACCTGCCTTGCAGATGCGCTGCTTCTCCACAACCCAGGATTCCTCTTCCTCATGGTCCTGCAGGAAATGGAAGAAGTTGCGAGCGTCCTCCAGCCGGGCCCGCCGGACCTCACTACTTTCAACCAGGCTGAAATGCAAGTACATAATGGACACCTTACTAATTTGTACTCTTCACCTCATAATGTCAAAGCTGTCACATCAAGGTTATGATGAGAAAGAAACAACAAATGCAAACAAAATTCTTTTGCGAAAAATCCTTATGGAAACAGGCCACTTAAAATCAAGACATACCTAAGTAGCGGGGATATAAACTGAGTTGGGACAGGGAGCAGTGGTGCTTGCAGTTAAGCCAACGAGTTTAAAAAAAAACAGAATTTTTTCTCCATCACCTGTCATAGGCAGAGATGAGGTGGCCAAGCCGCTGCTCCAAAAGTGGTGCCTCGCGATGGCCACCGCTCACATACTGCTGTGCCTGGCGTCCAAGCCGACGCTGCGCCTCCCCCAGGGAAGTCACCTGTAGCTCTGCGAGGCTGTGCTTCTGCAACAGGTCCTCCACTGCAAGCAGGTGTGGACCTACATCCTCTGACTGGAAGTTTCCCTAAATAATAGAATTGCAGACCGTATCACAGCAATGGTACTTTTTACTGAAGGCTTTGTGCTTTAAAACTACTTTTCTTGCCAGCCAGATCCTCATCTGTACAAGTAGAAAGAAGTACTTCAATTTGGTTAAGGCAGATAATGCTAATGTTGGAGCATGATGTTACAAGTACTTCATGAGGTACCCACATGCAGGTCTGCAATGGTGGTCATAACAGTGTCTATCTCTCGCAGCACGGCCATCAGTCCGCACAGCATCGTCAGGTTGGTCTTGTGTTTGTCTAAAAGCAGCAGCAGTTCTTGCCACCGCTGCAGGACCTCCTCTTCTCGACGTGTCACACGCTCCTTCCCGTGGTAGTTCTCACGAACCAATTCATCAGACATGTTTGTCAGGTCATGGAACCGCTCCTCCTGCAAAATGTGCCATAGTTTGACAGGATCAGGAACCTGAACATTATATAACCAACGGAACAGCGCCATTGATACCAAACTCTGCATAACAACTGGTACTGAGTCAGTTCAATTCTCACAGCCTGTTTCCTTACCAACCATATCAATATTTCACGTCCAGCTCCGACATCTTTCAAGGTTTCCTGACTATAACGTTTACATACAGTTTTATTTTCCCCATCGAAGCTACATGTTCAGCACAATGTTAACTCATGATTTCACAACACTAATATTTAATATTTACATATTAACAAATGACAAGACTGTGAATAACATTACCATACATTATTCAAAGCTAAATGTTTTCAGCAAATGATAAAGCATCTTAAAATATTAAGATAAGTAAATATTTTGTCTGCTTCAATTTATTTTGCTTTTCAGGTCTCTGAATATGTGAACGTTGTGTTCAACATGCCCACCGTCAACCAACACAGTCGTAAAAAAGCTTAAAATGTTTAAGTTCAGCGAAGGAGGACAGGTCAATCACATACCCTAGCCAGTATGTCAGCACTGATGGCTTCATGTTTCTTAACTGTGGCATCCACCTGAGTGAGGTTGCTGCCATAGCGAGGATCAGACAGCACCTGGATCATTTCCTTGAGGTAGCCCTCACGAAGCACACTCTGCAACACGCATATTTCAGCCTCACAAATGGTTCCTCCCTTTCCATAACCTCTGCGTTTAACACAGCTTGGCCAACCCATCTCAGCCATAAAACTTGCTCACAGCTGATTTGCATTACAGCCTGCAATGCGGGTGTGAGAATGTTTCTGTGGAACTGGGCCATTCTATTAGAGCCACACGTTCTCCTCAGCAATCTGTTCTCGAGCGACACCGACGCAATGGACAAGCGGTGCGTAATTCAAAATGATACATATTTTGAAAGCCAGACAAGACGACAGAAAACTCTAAATCAATCGGTAACATGCATATCCAGAGTTTTACTTTATTATTCAGCCTTCAAATGAATAATCGGCAAATTGCTATTTGCTAAAAACTTGAGCATTTTCACCTTTCTCTCAAACTTGTAATTGAGCTGCTCGAGTCGCTCTTGACGAAGCAGTTCCTGGCGCAGCGCAACTTCTCGCCGATGCTCCGCGCGCTCCAGTCCCTCCCAGCTGCGCTCCAGATCATGTATGAGCTGCCCATCCTGAGGTGCAAATGCCGGCTGGTTCAGAGACTTGAGTTGTGTGTTGATGTGGAAATACAGTGCCTCGATCTCACTGCGTTCCTTGTACCTGCAACACAGTAACCAAACCATCTGAAACCCAATTCACTGAAAACATTTAATGTTTACCACTGCCTTCCAAGTGTTCATTTTTACAAAAACTTAGCCAGCAAAATTCTTATTTACTGCAACTGAGGTAATGTCCATCACACCACAATATTTTACTTCCTTCAGTTCATCCTCTTGCAGACTGTGACCACAAACTTATGTTCTTCCCTCAGGACACGAAACAACCATCTTAATCATCCATGTTCTGGAATTTCTTCATCATTCTCTCCACTCACTTTGGGGGCTTCTCCACTGTGCGGTACTGCTTGAATAGCAACAGCTCCTTCTGGATTCCTTCGAGGGAGTTGGGGAAATTGTGGTCTTCAAGCTCCATCACCTTTTTGCCGATCCACTCCAGCAAATCGGTTGTCAGGCGCTCGTAGTGCACCTTCATCTTGTCTGCATCCATCATCTGCCCCACGATCTGCAGGCACAACATTGACACGAGAGTAATTTGATACAGAGTCCGAGGAGAAAAGGCTGATAGCTCCACGCAGTCAATGCAGTAGAGCCCGTCTTTACTTTGCACATGTAACGGGCAAAATGTAGCTCTTATTTTGATGTTCTGCGAGCCTGCAGGAAAATAAAATTCTGTTACAGTGGTGAACGCTGCAACCAGAGGCATTAAAAAAAATACTACAATGCACAGTAGCACATAAGCGTTCAGAATCATAATCACTTATTAAATAAAGCAATTCCCATTCGTTTTCTCTGTTTAATCCTATGCAGTAACTCAAATGCTGATACAACATTAAACAATTATAATAAAAACTTGGAGTTAAAGAACAGTGAACGGCAACTAGTTTGTGCTAAATCTCATGAAACACCATTCACCTCATGTCTCACTCAACTGAGACTTAATCCTGGCGACAAGTTTAGTGAAAACATGGGTCTACACTTCCACTGCTGTGTAATTTTTGGCAGCCTGGATTGAAATGGTAATTAAACATTCCACTCAGTGTTGCATATGAACAACAAAAATTTATGACAGGTCAAGAATCAAACAGTGAAAACAAGAAGTCCGCACAAGATTTACAAAAAATTAACTGTAATGTTTTCTAAACGCAAAAGCTGATCTAGGAATGCATAAACAGGCGGACCTGAATAAAAATAAAAGCATGATTCT